GAAAGTTTGTTTAGCGGGATTCTGCTGTCCATGCAATGAAATCCAGCGCATAATCAAAAAATCCCTAATAAATTGTAAATTATGTTGCCACAATTTTACTGAAGTATGAAATGCTTAGAAATAATGATGTTATCCACCGCTGGGGTATCCATACGATAATGCTCTTTGAAATATTTTAAGATATGATGAAAAGTGTTACAAGAAATCTCGCGGTTATCGTAAGGCTGCCTAAATCTCTTCATATTAGAGATACTTTTGCTCTCCTTTTCAACCTTCAGTAGTTAACAAGGCATTTTTTAAACTATTAATGAAGTCTTCTTGCACATATTTGATATCTGTAGAAAAAAACTACGTCGCGAAATTTAATTTGGACAATGCGAATTGTTTTCTCATGTTTTTATGACTTTTCAGGTTTTGTAAAAAATGATTTTTTGATTACTGCCGCCGCGAATCCAACTCCATTGAGCACAGATGCTATAATCAATTATTTTGAAAAATTCACAAGATCTTGAGAAGTAACTGTACAGTAAAGAGATTTTTTGCTTTAATGGTGGAAAATTGCTTCTCGTGGTAATGAAATGTCTGCGAAGGCATTTGTTATTGGATTTTGTTCTAACATTTGTATGTTGGATCAGCTTTTTAGAGCTCGTGTCAGGGTTCGAATGCATTAAAATAATTGCTAACTCCAAAGAAAGAAATACGAAGGCTGTTGTTTTTTTTTTCAAAATTGTCCTATTTGACTGTCATTTGTGCGATTGCTCTTAACTGACAACTTAGTGTCCATCCTGAGATCCATACTTTTCTGATGCTTAAACCATGGTCTGGCTTGAAGCTGTTAGTTGCTAGTTTTGATTATTCTCATTATGTGGCACAATCATGTTCTGCAGGCGTAATTGATCAAATTTTTCAGGTTGCTTCGGCTCGTTTTGGAGTTACTTCGTCCTATCTTGCTCACGCCGACGAATTGCAGATTAAGATGGCTCAAGGTGGGTTTTTTCTATGTCACATTGGAGGATTTCCTAGGATATCGGAAAGGTCGACGGAGTCGTTGTTAT